AGGCGCAGCTGGGACAGTCCGTTGTTGATGCAGTGCCCACAGTGCCCACGCAGCGCCTCCCCGCGGAGCAGGGCATGAACGTGAGAGTCTCCGAGCACAGTTCTGGGTCCTTTGGTGATGCCGGAGGCCTGACCTGCTGGTTCCGGGGACTCTGCAGGCTCCTTCCTGTACATCGGGCTTTGGTTCCATCCTCCTTGTCTTTCCTGGAGCAGAAAAGTGGTTTCTGTTTAAGTACCAGGCAGCCTCTTAGCCTGTGCTCCCTTTAAACCAACAAAACTTATGCTGAAATTGGAAAACTATTCATGCCAAAGAAAACAGTTAATTATGACCTGCTTTTTTAAACTACAGATGCTCCCCTTTCGGGATTCTGACATTGCACATATCCCCTTGGGAACTGCCTTAGGTTGCTCGGCCATCCCAAAGGAGCTCTGGTCTTGCCAGCGTTCTCGGTTGGAGTCTGCGGACTTAGCAGAAATCCCCTAATCACCTTGAGCTGTGCTCCCTGTTGCTTCGTTCCTTACAGTGCCCGTAACATCTCACCTTGCAGCATGGAGCACATGCTTGTGTAGTTGGAGCTCATCTTCTGATAATTTCATGGAATTGCTTTAGGGGATCAGAAGTGTTCTCCCTCCGGTTAATGTTTCATTCATTCTTATTTTTCAAAGAAGTGTTTCCCATTATAGAATTTAAGAAGCCAGAGATTTTGGTCCAGTAAAGGTCACTGCTGCATCTGTGGTTTCTGAAACTGTTTCTGGCACCCAGGATATGTGTGGCACGAAGGAAGGAATAAAATCGCATTCACGGGCAAAGCAGGTACTTGAGTTGCCAAAGAGCTGGGCATTATGTCTAATAAATGGATAAACATTTTTAGTGGTTCATCGGTGTACTTAATGAAAAGATCGGATTCCCCTGGATGTATCAGTTGCATCAGGGGAAGGATGTTTGCTGGTGTTTTCATGCTATTTTACGTACATGTTTCCTGTCTGTGTGCCAGGTGCCCCCCATTACTCAGAGCCACATGGTGTCAGCCAAACCTTTACAGTGGAGCTTGTCGGGATGGTGTTGAAATGTTGCTTGCTGTGTTTATGACAAGTGAAATTGAATCCTTAAGGTTTGAAGTGTATGTGGCGTTCTCCTTAGTTGGTAAAAAGTGAGTTGTCAAATCTGTAGAAATAGAAAGATCGGTTGGAACATTCTTGGATTAAAGAAAAGCAGTACTAATGAATTTATTTGCTATGCATTCCAATCCCATTAATCCTGAGGAGTTCAGCCTGGATTAATGTATGGCATGCTTTTCTTCAGGACTTCTAAGCTCAGCATTAACTGCTTGTATACCGTGACAGGAAAATGGGAGCAGGGTGGGGGTCCCTGTTCGGCTGCTTCATCATGTCCAAAGAAGCAGGAGAGGACCTTTTGTGATGTGAGCGTCGATCCCGCTTGGCACTGTGAGCTCACTTGTTCGGGCCGCCCGGAAGGCAGTGGTTCTCAAACTGTTTGGACTTAGAACCGCCCTGTGCTCTCACAGACCATTGAGGACTTGAAGGAGCTCCTGCCTTATGTGGGATGTATGTGTTAACTGTTACCATCTGACAAATTTGAATTTAGAACAGCTTCAAATATTTATGTACTAATCCATCTAAAAGTAACAATAAACCATTTTATGTTAATGTAACATTTTTATGAAAAAGAACTAGTTTCTAAATAAAAAATTGAATAGGAGTAGTGTCGTTTTACATATTTACAAATCTCTTTAATGCTCAGCCTAATAGAAGGCAGCTTGATTCTTAGGTCTGATTATGCATCAGTCGATTTTGATGTGCTGTTTTAGTCGAGAAAATAGGGCCTCAGATAGGTACTTGGAAAAGGAGAAGTACTTTAGTAGCCTTTTGGGTAATTATGAGTTTTTTTTTTTTTTTTTTTTTTTTGATACTGCACAAAAAAGTTGGTTGGTTCCATGGTGGAATCTAAAACCATATTGACGGGTTTCCATACTTAAAAATGTGTCTGTTTTGTACTTTTTCAAAAAATTCCATTTTGTGCTTTGAGTCAATCATTTGTCCATGTTTCAGTGAATTACTGTCTTTCCAAATTACGCAGATCTTCCAAACGTCAACAGATTTCATCATGTAATTGTTTTCTAAAAATCACATATGTCGGGGTGGCTCATTTGCTTGAGCATCCAGTTTTGGCTCAGTTCATGACCTCACCACTTGTGAGTTTGAGCCCCACATTGGGCTCTATGCTGACAGCTCAGAGCCTGGAACCTACTTTGGATTCTGCGTCCCTTCTCTCTCTGGCCTTCCCCACTCATACTCTCTCTGTCTCTCTCAAAAATAAACATTAAAAAAAATTTTTAAATAGGGGTGCCTGGGTTGCTCGGTTGGTTAAGCGTCCGACTTCAGCTCAGGTCATGATCTCACGGTTTGTGGGTTTGACCCCACATTGGGCTCTGTGCTGACAGCTCAGAGCCTGGAGCCTGCTTTGAATTCTGTGTCTCCCTATCTCTCTGCCCCTCCCCCGCTCACACGGTCTCTCTCTCTCTCTCAAAAATAAATAAAACAATAAAAAAAATTTAAAAATCACATTTGCTAATGTCACCTCCAGTGTCACCAGAACACTCTTAAGTTTTGGGAATCTTTTGAGTTTTTGGTGAAGGATGCAAGTTTTCCAAAATTCTAATTTTTTTGTTTGAAAGCTCAAATTCTATCGTTGGCAACAAACATTGTTAGTTATTTTCCTTCTAGATTCTGCTCCTTTATTCCAGAGTTTTATTTCTAAGACACAGATCTGATCACAGCTCTTGGGTGTCTCTCCGTTCCCAGAAGAACAAAGTGTAGTTTTCTTGGCTTGGCCACGAGGACCTGGGTGACTTTGCCCCCATCTCCCAGCACTTTGACAGTTTCCAGCCTTCTTTCCAGACCCTGTGCTTGTTCTGCTTTTGTTTTTTCATTGGCTTAAAACAACACACATTTATTGTCTTATGGTTCTGGATGGAGGTCAGGAGTCTGAAATACATGTCACCAGGCTCAAGTCAAGGTGGTGGCAGGGATGTCTTCCTTTCTTAGGACTCTTAGAGGCAATCTAGTTCCTTGTCCTCCCCAGCCTGCCTGCCTTCCTTGGCTCCTGGTCCCCTGACATATTCAAAGCCAGCGGTGGCTGATGGTGTCTTTCTCACATTGCATCCCTCTGACACTGACTCTCCCACCCCCTCTTCCACCTTGTGGGGACCCTCCTGATTACATCAGGCTCTCCTCAGGGAAATCTTTCTATCTCAGGGTTAGCTGATTAGCATCTTTATTCCTCTTGCAACCTTACTTTGTCCTTGTCTTCTCCTGTAAACCTGACTTATTTACAAATTCCTAGAATTGGGATTTGGATGTTTTGGGTGGGGATGGGGGAGTAGGGGAGCGGTATTATTCCAGCTGTCACATTCAAGCCTGTCTGGTTTCACTAATCAGTTCCTACTCTGTATATGTTGGCTAGACTTGTCCTCTAAGGCTTCGTTGCAAAAGCCTTTCCTCAAGTCTCCAGGTAGAGCCAACCACTTTCTCTTCAATCAAGACAGAGACTCACTTATGAGTCACCCCACCTTAGTGCCCTGGTCACAGTAAGGCATCTGTAGGTCAGTCTCCCCTGTGGGCCTGTGACCTCTCTGTCCTTGTGGTACTTGGCATATGATAGAGGAAGAACAATATGCTGTCAATTTTGGGCATTTGGTTATGGACTGTGTTTGAGATGCTGTGGCCCGGATGTTCAGTTTCTTCGGTGTGATGACGGCATGCGGTTCTGTAGGAGATGCCATGCTTAGGAGTTACCAACATACTTAGAGGTCACGTGTCCTGATAGCCATTATAGCTTACTGTCAAATGGTTCACGAGAAAAGTTTCTATAAAGATAAAGCAAATACGGCAAAATGTTAAATGTTGGTAAATGTAGATGAAGGGTATGCAAATGTCCCTTTTATTTTTCTGTAGGTTTGAACACGTTCAAAATAGAAAGCGGCAAAGAACAAAATATTAACGTACAATGAACGTACAAAGGTGCAGGTCGGGATAGAGTAGGATCTCAGTGGTTGGAAATCCGGTTTGCTGCTGTTGAAGTTAAAAAACTCTCTGTGCTGATTAGCATCTTCATGTACATCTTTGGCGTAATGATAATCCGCTCTGGGTTCACATTAGTGCAAATCATATTCAGGAGACTTAATTAAACCTCCCCAGCTCCTGGGTGAGCGCGTGAGCATGTGCAAAGTAGTCATGGTAGGATTGAGGAAGCAGAGAACTTCCTATCAGCAGAGGTGACTGTTGCTGCTTTCAAATGGGGCTCCGGTCATTCGCTCCCATTCCTTCTGGGACTGCAGGCCACTCCACTAGGCTCATCATGACAGTGCACACTCTACGTTTAGAGTACCCTGACCCATCCTGAAGTCGCCGGGGCAGGTGTACACTTGTGCCCGTCCGTCTGTCAGCTGGTCCAGGAGAGTCCATTGCAAAGCCATTCACAGGTGGAGCCTGTTTCCTGAGGGACCGAACTAAGACTTTCTGTCCCTGCTAGTTTCAATTCTTAGTGTGATTGTCGAGGTGGGGAGTGGATTCTCTTCCCTCATGGCTACTAGTAAGGGCCTCAGAGCTTTCACCCATCTACCTTTGTGCCCTGGATTTGTGGAGGGAGTGTGTCTGGTTGATGCTTTGATCTCAGTCTTGTTTGGGATGTGATCAGCCTTGGTGGAGGTCACATGGTAGGAGCTCTGGTTTGGAGGCCGTCTCATCCAGTTTCCTGTCTTGTCCCTTGCTCAGTGGCGTTTCACCGCATGCCTGCTCGGGCACCGTGATGGGACCCTCACCTGCCTGGCCTCTCCTGCTGCCTACCTTTGGTTTCCGTTATAGGGGGTTGTTCTTCCTGATGCTGAGCTGAACAGAATGATCCCTCCCTGTCATAGCCACAGGCATGGAGGTTCTGGGGCCCAAATGGATGGTGCCTAATGTCTCTACTTTGTTTTCTAGGAGCTGGAAGTGCCCATCTCATCCCTCCTGAGACATCTCTGCTCCAGGACCCAGGCGATCCTCGGGTGACAAGGTGACAGGTCCTCACATCCCTTTCCAGGTATCGGGCACTAGAATGTGCTGTCCGTTTAGACCTTCACTTGGCTGTTGACTTTATAAATTAACTGAGAGCGACACCCTGCATCATCATCTTTAAAGCTTATAATACTCTGTACTATATGCTAACTAACTTGGATGTAAATTTAAAAAACTAAATTAAATAGAAATTAAAACAAAAAACCAAAACGAACAAAAAACAACAAAAAAAGCTTATAACACTCTGGCTTTTCAGAGTCCTTAGGAGTTCAGGCCCATCCACTCAGAAAACATGTGTGCCTCTTCACTCTTGTAGGCGTATTAAATCCCTACCTTTCCTAGACACAGAGCTCACACCCTGCACACGCAAGGCTTCCGAATGGAGGCCTGGCTGCCAGGGCAGCTGTGGAGAGCGGGTCTGCCGAAGCCGGGCCCTCACCCCTGGTGTGGATGTGGGGATGCTGCGTGGTGTGCAGCGCTTGGTGACGCCCGCTCTGGGCCGCGGCCCCTGGCCTGTCGGTGCTGGTGTGCAATGCCGTGGCACCAATACATTGCTCTGCGGTGCTGCCTTTAACTCTAGGAGCCTTGGTGCTTCTCAAGGTCAAGGGCTGGCTTCAGTTTCCTTCCTGCTCTCAAGCTTTTCCTTCTGCTCCTATCCCTTTATTCCTCTGCTTTTCTCCCACTCCCTTTACTTAGGGGATTCCTGTAGCTTATTCTTAGGTTCAGGTGCTGCAGTGATCTGCTGTAGGTCAGTGCATTTCAGGGTGGTCCTTGGAGCCCCAGAGTCCTGAGGGGGACAGAGCCCGGCAGGGGGCAGGTCTGGGCTGGCCAGTGGGGGCTGGCCCCCATCTCTCTGTGTAAGAGTGGCTCCACTTTTATTCGGTTCTCATATTTGGGTTTGGCATAAGATGTGGTTTGGGAAGGATGGGTTCTACTATTTAAATACTTGAAAGCTATTACTCCAGTCAGTTTTTGATTAAAGTAACAAGTTCACCGAGTATGGGCACCTTGTTGTTGTTACTATTTTATGCATCACCAAAAGGAGGTAGTTTTTTCAGGTGTGTTTGTTTATAAAAGAACCTCTCATGACTTTTCTCTCTCCGTCTCACATTCTTACTGTCCTTTGGGGCCATTCATATTCTTAATTCCGAATATAGCTGTATTAAGAATGAACACACAGGGGCGCCTGGGGGGCTCAGCCCTTTAAGTGTCCAACTTCGGCTCAGATTGTCATCTCATGGTTTGTGAGTTTGAGTCCCATGTCGCTCTCTGTGCTGACAGCTCAGAGCCTGGAGCCTGCTTCGAGTTCTGTCTCCCTCTCTGTCTGCCCCTCCCCCACTCACACTCTGTCTCTCTGTCTCTCAAAAATGAATAAACATTAAAAAATTTTTAAATGTTGAAAAAAAAATGCACACATATTCAGGATCAGCAGCCCGTGCCATCCTTCTTCAGAGGAACTTTGGGGGGCGGGGGGATATGGCCAGTGACCTTTGCCACAGAGAAGACTCTCTGAGCAGGCGACCTTGAAATAAGAAGGATGAAGCAGGCTTCCCATAGCTCCTGCTGCGTAGCTCATAGGGAGGCTTGCGGCTGGAAGGATACCGTGTGTTTATGATGCTCTTGCAGCCGTGTAAATGTCAGAAACAAAGGTGCAGCGTTACCAGGTGCACTTTCCCAAGAGACAGTAAAACTGGATCCTTGCCAGCAGGGAGGTGGGGGGGGGATATCCTGTGTAGGTGGCCAGAAGCCACTGTGAACCATGACTGTCCTTTTCTTTCCTTCTCTCCTCAGAGCTTGTTTGGTAAGCGTGCTCAGCGTGAATTCATTCTGCATTCCTCCTCTTCCTGCAACAGTCAGCTGGGTCTCTGCTATCTTAACAGACTGTTTTAGAAACTCTTCCTGTTACCTAATACTGGGGCCTGGCACGCAGTGCTGCGTGTTCACATCGGAATGAAAAGTCCCTATCAGATCTGTTTCTCCGGATCAGGATGCTGTGACAGACCGTGTGGGGAAGCCAGCGTTGGTTCTTAGGGCCTGCGGCACAAGTCCTGAACTGCAGCTAAATCTGGGGAATTCACAGCCTCCTGGAAACCGCCATGAGGTTGCCCCTTCTTGAGTGAGGAGATACAGACCAGGTGCCAGGCGGTGACAGAGGTGACGCACCCCCGGAGGTCTGTTGGTCTCTGCCGCACTTGTTTGTGCGCTTTGGTTTATCGTCCCGTCTTCCTGCCCAGAGGGCAGACCGCTTTGTTCCACCTCCTGCTGTTTCATCAGCACCTAGAAGGGGGGGGAAGCCCATAGTAGGCTTAAGGTAAATATTTGTTGAATGGGTAGATGGTTGCTTTAGTCTTTCTTGCAGACAGTGTGTACTCTGAGCACTGGGACGGTGCGTTGCTTATCTTTGTAGCTCCTGTAACTCCTAGAAGAGTGACACAGGGCAGATACGCAAGTCTGTAAAAAATGCAATAATAGTCATTTAGTGCATACCATTCTTCCAGAGGAGGAAATTGCTTTCAGATCATTCATCTTTAACCAAGAAAAAAATAGTTTCAGGTCCAGAAAATGTTAACTCCACCATTAAAACCGAGAAAGAGAAATGTCGGGCTCTGGGTTTTAGCTCCTTGAAGGCTTAAGAGAGAACGAATGCAAACTCCCTCACTGTCTCATGACTGTGTGGACCACGGAGGGGTGCTCTGTCACTGCATAACAGTCACCACAAACGTGGAGGCCCAGAACAACACACATCTGTTGTTTCGTGGTCAGAAGTCAGGGCCCGGCCTGGCTCACGAGGCCGGTCAATGTGTTCACTAGGGGTGGGTTCTCCCCTACAGGCACAGCTGGGGTGGAATGTGCTTCTGTGCTCCCCCGGGTTGTTGGGCAAGTCCATTTCCTCATGATTGTACCACCCGTGGCCCTGGCCTCCCGCCCGCCGACCTGGAGGCCACTGTCACCGCCATATGGGTTTTCCCAACATGGCCACTGGGTTCATTAAGCTGCCAAGGAGACTGACTGCTAGCAAGATGGAGCTGCAGATCATGTAACCCAGGGATGACGTCCGGCACCGTCGCCATGTTCTGCTGGTTGGAGGCAAGTCCTAGTTCCTCCACGTGCTCCAGGGAATACCAGGAGTGGGTCCTGGGGGCACCTTAGAGACTGCCCGCCGCTGATTGCCTTTCCTTGCTCCTTGGGGAGTGGTTCCCATCAGCTCTTCATTTTTGCGGGAAACTGTCTTGCTCCTTTTTTTATTTTTCCCACAGTGCTCCATGCTTTTAAATCTGTTAAAGGATCACTGCTTCACAGGGTCCATTTACTCATCTACCCAGTTGGGGTGTTCTCATGCCCTCACTGTCCCAGCGCGGAGTGCGAGCGTGGATGCCCAGAGCATTATTTGGGGGCATAAGTTGTAAAAGCCTATTTTTAGCCTTTAAAAATTCCTTAAAAGCAACAGAAGCCTGTGCTGTGTCTCCTCAGTCCCTGAAGACGTGGAGTCTAACTGTAGAGCAGTAACCAGAGAAGGGAGGGCTTCAGTTAGCAGCAGGCTGGATGACTGGATGCGGTTGCATTGACAGGCGCTGGGGTGGAATTCAGGCAGCGTTCTGCAGGGACAGCACGGTTATGGTATCGCATGGGAGTCTGGCACTGAAACGCAGCCGGTGACACTGCCTGTGACGGTGGTGCATCTGTGGTCTCCCTGACATGCCCCAAACCCCTGCACACCTAATGCTGCCGTCCAGCTCTCCTGCCCAGCGGAGGTAACTTCGTTTGTCCAACTTTCCGGGCGGCTTCGTCCGCCTCTGGCTCCGGCCTGCCCCTCTGACAGTCCTTCCCCGGCTTTGACTGTTTGGCGCAGCGTTCCGGTATGCACAGAGCCCTGCGGTGCTGGCCGTTTGCCTCCGGTGCCTTGGAGTCCTTTCAGGCCACGAGAAGCACATTCTCGGCTGTGCCGTCAGTGCTGAGACTGTTCTGTTACCCCAAACTAGGGTGTTTCCTCCAAGCATATTCCATAAAAAAATACCTCACGCGAGAAAAGTGTGGCAGGTGATTGTCTGGACCTAAGAGAGGTGAGGTGGCGAACGATACGAGGAGGCGATGCTCTTTCAGCTTTTACCTGCTTTTCTCTGGGGGTGAGTGCCTGAAGTTGTAGCTGCCCGTGAGGTATGGGTATAGGAAGCCATTTCCTGCTTAGGGATTATTTGTGCTTGACGTACACGGCATAGATAATTCCCATGGTAACTCTGGGTGTGCAGAGCATGTGGATTTCAGGGCTCTTTGAGGAAAAACAGGGAGCAAATGGCAGGTAAATGTGAAAGATTATAGCATTTGCTTGCTCAAAAGTGCTTTATTAGTTGGATTAAAATATCATGCTCAAAGGCAGATATAATTGAATTTGCTGCCCAAAGAAAGAAAGAAGGCCGAACCACGAGCAGTGAGCTATCCTGGTGCTATTTCCCGCTCCTGTCTGACCTTTACAGCAAGACAGGATCAAGCCGCCCCATAAATATGTTTCTGATGTCCTTCTTTGGCTTAAAATGTTTATGTCTAAGTGTAAATCCCTCAGCTGGCCGTGCAAGGCTTGTGAGTGGTCTATCCTGCCCTGCCCTCCGCTCCCCCGGCCTCACCTGCGGGGGCTGAGTGTGTCCAGGCGGTTCCACGAGCCTGTGCCTTTCCACCCCTGTGGGCCCGCAGCCCACCCAGCGGTGAGAGACGAACCGTCCTAGTGTGCAGCACACACGCGCGCGTGCCTATGAGTGTCTGTCTTTTGGAGGCTGCCAGCTTCTGAATAGGCTACCTACCACTCCGTTTCTCTTTTAACTGCTCTTTGGGACTCCTGTTTCCTTTTCTGATTTCCGCCTAATTCCCCGTACGTGATACAGACCCAAGTCTGACCCAAGTCTTTATGGGAACGAGACTGGTAAGAGCAATCCAGGTCTGCCTATTACGGATTCCTTGCTCTGGGCTGTGTTTTTGTGTAAACAATGGCTGGATACTGACAGTTTCATATGGTTCAACCTAATCCTACATCAA